TTATAACACTTTTTTTTTAAATTTATGTCATATTATGGAATTTGAGAAGTTATTGAAATTTTTATATGATTTTAAAAATATTTTAAATTGTTAGCTATTGTGATTTGTAGTACCTTTTTTAACATAATTTTGAAAATAATAATTATTAATCTATTTGTTCTAATTTATGTGGCACATGCAGAATTTCAAATATTAACCCTTTTTTATATGTCTCTTTAATATATTAAGTTGTTAATTATTGTATTTTATAGTACATTTTGAACCTAATTTTTTAATAATATATGTTATTTGCTATGTCCCAATTTATGTGGCATTAATTGATAGATTTGTTGGAGTCGAGAGATTTATTTTGTTAATTATTGTAATTTATAATTTGTTTTTCGTCAATTTCGTCGACTATTTTTTTTATTAATTATTGTAATTTATTGTTTCTTTTTCGTCAATTTCAAACAATATATGTTTATCATATAATCCATTTTATGTGGTACCAAAAGAATTTAGAGAGTCAATTAAATTTTGTATATAAGTTTTAAATAATTAAGCTGTTAATTATTGTAATGTATAGTATTACTTATAGTATTTTTAAATATATTTAAATATTATATGTTAGGTTTTTTATCCTAATTTATATGGCATTGATAGAATTTAAAGTGTCAAATAATTGTTAATTATTGTAATAGATAATATGGAGTATTTAAGTCATTTATAGTATAGTATAATTAATATATAATATGTAGTATTTAAGTGTTATATTATGGAATTTGAGAAGTTATTGAAATTTTTATATGATTTTAAAAATATTTTAAATTGTTAGCTATTGTGATTTGTAGTACTTTTTTTTTATATAATTTTGAAAATAATATTTATTACTGTATTTGTTCTAATTTATGTGGCACATGCAGAATTTCAAATATTAACCATTTTTTATATGTCTCTTTAATATATTAAGTTGTTAATTATTGTATTTTATAGTACATTTTGAACCTAATTTTGTAATAATATCTGTTATTTGCCATGTCCCAATTTATGTGGCATTAATTGATAGATTTGTTGGAGTCAAGAGATTTATTTTGTTAATTATTGTAATTTATAGTTTCTTTTTCGTCAATTTCAAACAATATATGTTGTTAATTGATAGAATACTTTTAATGTAATTTTTTTAAAAAAATATGTGTGACTGTCCATGTCCCAATTTATGTGGCACATGTAAAGTTTTGACAATTAACCAAAATTTTAATACATTTAAAAAATAATAATTTAAGTCGTTAAATTTTAAGTAATTTAAATTGTTGTATTATTTATTACAATTTATAATGCTTTTAAAGTAGTTTAAATATTGTACTATTTATTATGATTTATAACACTTTTTTTTAAAATTTATGTCATAGTATGGAATTTGAGAAGTTATTGAAATTTTTATATGATTTTAAAAATATTTTAAATTGTTAGCTATTGTGATTTGTAGTACTTTTTTTAACATAATTTTGAAAGTAATATTTATTACTCTATTTGTTCTAATTTATGTGGCACATGCAGAATTTAAAATATTAACCCTTTTTTATGTCTCTTTAATATATTAAGTTGTTAATTATTGTATTTTTTTGTGCATTTTGAACCTAATTTTTTAATACTATATGTTATTTGCCATGTCCCAATTTATGTGGCATTAATTGATAGATTTGTTGGAGTCGAGAGATTTATTTTGTTAATTATTGTAATTTATAGTTTCTTTTTCGTCAATTTCAAACAATATATGTTGTTAATTGATAGGTTTTTTGGAGTGGAATTTTTTTTTATTAATTATTGTAATTTATTGTTTCTTTTTTGTCAATTTCAAACAATATATGTTTATTATATAATCTATTTTATGTGGTACCAATAGAATTTAGAGACTCAATTAAATTTTTTATATAAGTTTTAAATAATTAAGCTGTTAATTATTGTAATGTATAGTATTACTTATATTATTTTTAAATATATTTAAATATTATATGTTAGGTTTTTTATCCTAATTTATATGGCATTGATAGAATTTAAAGTGTCAAATAATTGTTAATTATTGTAATAGATAATATGGAGAACAATATATGTTTATTATATAATCTATTTTATGTGGTACCAATAGAATTTAAAGACTCAATTAAATTTTTTATATAAGTTTTAAATAATTAAGCTGTTAATTATTGTAATGTATAGTATTACTTATATTATTTTTAAATATATTTAAATATTATATGTTAGGTTTTTTATCCTAATTTATATGGCATTGATAGAATTTAAAGTGTCAAATAATTGTAAATTATTGTAATAGATAATATGGAGTATTTAAGTCATTTATAGTATAGTAATTAATATATAATATGTAGTATTTAAGTGTTATATTATGGAATTTGAGAAGTTATTGAAATTTTTATATGATTTAAAAAATATTTTAAATTCATAACTATATATTTCAATGTACAAGATTTTGATAAAATAAAATCTTTAAAGTTAAATTATAATGTTTTTGAAATTTAAATTATTAAAACATATATAATGATTTTATAGAAAAAATAATATCATATAAAATTAAATGAAAAGGATAATAAATTCAACTTTTACCGTGATAAGGTTGAAAAATATTATTTAAGTGGAAGGAGATGGGGCCCACGTTTGGTAGTAAATCCTAGACTCTTCTATATATAGTAATATATAGTAATTTAAGTGGAAGGAGATGGGGCCCACTTTTGGTAGTAAATCCTAGACTCTTCTTATTTAAGTGTTATATTATGGAATTTGAGAAGTTATTGAAATTTTTATATGATTTTAAAAATATTTTAAATTCATAACTATATATTTCAATGTACAAGATTTTGATAAAATAAAATCTTTAAAGTTAAATTATAATGTTTTTGAAATGTAATTATTAAAACATATATAATGATTTTATAGAAAAAATAATATCATATAAAATTAAATGAAAAGGATAATAAATTCAACTTTTACCATGATAAGGTTGAAAAATATTATTTAAGTGGAAGGAGATGGGGCCCACTTTTGGTAGTAAATCCTAGACTCTTCTTATTTAAGTGTTATATATATTATGGAATTTGAGAAGTTATTGAAATTTTTATATGATTTTAAAAATATTTTAAATTCATAACTATATATTTCAATGTACAAGATTTTGATAAAATAAAATCTTTAAAGTTAAATTATAATGTTTTTGAAATTTAAATTATTAAAACATATATAATGATTTTATAGAAAAAATAATAAATTCAACTTTTACCATGATAAGGTTGAAAAATATTATTTAAGTGGAAGGAGATGGGGCCCACTTTTGATAGTAAATCCTAGACTCTTCTTATTTAAGTGTTATATTATGGAATTTGAGAAGTTATTGAAATTTTTATATGATTTAAAAAATATTTTAAATTCATAATTATATATTTCAATGTACAAGATTTTGATAAAATAAAATCTTTAAAGTTAAATTATAATGTTTTTGAAAATTAAATTATTAAAACATATATAATGATTTTATAGAAAAAATAATATCATATAAAATTAAATGAAAAGGATAATAAATTCAACTTTTACCATGATAAGGTTGAAAAATATTATTTAAGTGGAAGGAGATGGGGCCCACTTTTGTTAGTAAATCCTAGACTCTTCTAATATATAGTAATATATGTTGAAAAATATTATTTAAGTGGAAGGAGATGGGGCCCACTTTTGGTAGTAAATCCTAGACTCTTCTTATTTAAGTGTTATATTATGGAATTTGAGAAGTTATTGAAATTTTTATATGATTTAAAAAATATTTTAAATTCATAATTATATATTTCAATGTACAAGATTTTGATAAAATAAAATCTTTAAAGTTAAATTATAATGTTTTTGAAATTTAAATTATTAAAACATATATAATGATTTTATAGAAAAAATAATATCATATAAAATTAAATGAAAAGGATAATAAATTCAACTTTTACCATGATAAGGTTGAAAAATATTATTTAAGTGGAAGGAGATGGGGCTCACTTTTGGTAGTAAATCCTAGACTCTTCTAATATATAATAATATATATATATGATTATAAAGTTTTTCTATTTAATTATATAATTAATTAACATATAAATTTTTACATTAAATCACTTAATTATGATTGACTATACTCTTTTTCTATTGAGTCAACGTTTATGGAAAACAACCTCTTTATATCATTAAAGATAAGATAAGGTTTGAATATACTCGTACTTGTTATTGTTGTTGTTTGTACCCCTCCCTTACTCAATTTATTTATTATTTTTCCATTTTCATGATTTAACTAGGTAAATATCTATCAACATTTTAAAATATATTTTTTATTTATTGATATAAAAAGAATTATAATTTATGATTTTGAAATATCATTTTCAAATATCTAAATTTTAATATTAAAACAATAAATTAATCTAATCTACTTTAGCTTTAAACCTTAGCGATCAATCATAAACACACATGAAGATATTGGCTCTTACTATCCATATAGAACAAAATTAATCAAATTGACTATTGAAAATAAAAAAATAACTCACTAATACGTAAATTAAGACAAAAAAGGGTCGTTTGATTGTGAATTAACTATTTAACATAAGTTATCTCATCATATATATAAGATAACTTATTTTATCGATATGTTAAATGAAGGAATAATTACTTTCAATTAAAGGACAAGATAAAATAATCTTACATTTTATCCGAGATCATTATACTTTATGCCTAATAGTAAATGACTCCAAAGAGTATTAATTTGTCGTAAATATCGAATGAAATAAATATTTAGTCCCAAAATCCACAGTGCATAGCTCAACACATGGCGTTAGTCTTTGTCAGTGCTGCTTCTTCTTCTCCTTCTGAAACTGAAACTTTTTTTTTGTTCAGCTCATACGCTCCTCTCTTCCCCACTTCCATAACAAACTCCATTAACACTCACCATTCTTGATTCTTCCCCCATTTGATCTTCTTCTTCTTCTTCTTCTCTCTACCCTTACCCACCACCACTCTTTCTCATGTCAACGGCTACTTTTCTTCTCTCTCCGCCATTGGTGGTGGTGGCACTTACATTGCTATTTTCCTGTGTTTTTTCCATGGCCGAAAACGTTACAGAGACGGAAATGGCAGCCTTAATGTCGTTCAAACGGAATTTGGAAGACCCACTTGGGGTATTAGACGGTTGGGATTTTTCTACCACATTAGCTCCGTGTGATTGGCGTGGGGTTCTGTGTGATGCCGGCAGAGTTCGTGAACTCCGCCTACCTGGGTTGCAGCTGAGTGGACGGCTAACTGACCAGGTTGGTAATTTACGCCAGCTACGGAGGTTAAGCCTACATTCTAACAACTTTAATGGTTCTGTCCCACGCTCTTTAGCTCAATGTGCTTTGCTACGCGCTGTTTACTTCCATTACAACTCTTTTTCCGGTGAACTCCCGCCGGCTATCTCGAACCTCACTAATCTTCAAGTTTTAAACCTTGCTCACAACTTCCTCTCCGGTCATGTCTCTGGTAATGTTCCAGCAAGTCTTCGGTTTCTCGATCTTTCTTCGAATCTCCTCTCCGGTGGCATTCCGGGTAACTTTTCAGCTGGTTCTCAGCTCGAACTGTTAAACTTGTCGTTTAACCGGTTCTCCGGTGAAATTCCGGCGAGTATCGGAGCTTTACAGAAGTTAGAGTATCTCTGGCTTGATTCTAACCAACTTTACAGCACTATACCTTCAGCAATCTCTAATATTTCCACATTAATACACTTGAGCACTAGTGATAATCATCTTCAAGGACTAATCCCAGCAACAATCGGTTCACTTTCCAGTTTACAGGTAATCTCATTGTCGCAAAATCAACTATCTGGTGTGGTCCCTGCATCGTTTTTCTGTCATGGGTCAGTAAATGCTCATGCTATTAGGATCATTGAGCTGGGTTTCAATGCAATCACGGGTTTAACTAAACCTGGGAATGCAACATGTTTGAGTGCTTTAGAGGTCTTGACCCTTCACGGGAATCACATTAATGGTGTTTTTCCTGAATGGTTGACGAATTTTTCGTCGTTGAAGGTTCTTGATATCTCCTGGAATGCAATTTCTGGAACTCTGCCAAATGATATAGGGAATTTAAGGTTTCTTGAGGAGCTTAGACTGGGTAACAATACATTAACTGGTGATATTCCTTCTAGTATTGTGAACTTTGGTTCATTGGGGGTACTTGATTTAGGTGGAAATCGGTTTTCTGGATTGATTCCACAGTTCTTGGGTAAATTGACAGGGTTGAGAATGCTGTCTCTTAATGGGAATCGCTTTTCTGGTTCGATCCCGAATAGTTTGGGGAGTCTTTATCAGCTAGAGTTTTTGGATTTGAGCATGAATGGTTTGAATGGGAGTTTGCCTCAAAACCTTATGTTGCTTAGCAATTTGACTAGTTTGAATTTGTCCAGCAACTTGTTTTATGGTGAAATTCCAAGAGGAATTGGAAGCTTGCATGGGTTAGAGGTTTTAAATGTTAGCAATTGTGGGTTCTCAGGGAACATTCCGACTAGTATCGGAAGTTTGTTGAGGTTGACAACTCTTGATGTGAGCAAGCAAAACCTATCTGGTGAATTACCCTTTGACATTTTCGGGTTGCCAAGTCTACGAGTTGTGGCTTTACAAGAGAACATGTTCACTGGGGATGGTCTTGAAGGTTTTAGCAGTTTATCTAGTCTGGAATATTTGAATCTGTCATCTAATGCCTTTTATGGGCAAGTTCCGAAGACATATGGTTTCCTTACATCCTTGAAAGTTCTTTCTATGTCTAAAAGTGGTATTAATGGCTCAATTCCAGCAGAGTTGGGTAACTGTTCAGGCCTTCAAGTGCTTGAGCTTCGAGGAAATAAGTTAACAGGTCAAATTCCGAAGGATTTCTCACATTTATCTCATCTAAGGAAGCTTGATTTGGGCCACAATGGATTAACCGGGGAAATCCCTGAAAACATCTCTAATTGTTTGTCTTTGGCTACTCTCTTGTTGGATTCTAACCACATCTCAGGTCACATACCAGAGTCGTTGTTGAAATTATCAAACTTGGAAATGCTGGATCTCTCTTCAAATAATTTGAATGGATCAATTCCTTCAAGTCTGTCTCTGATTTCCAGCCTGAGGTACTTGAATATTTCTCATAATCATCTCGAGGGTGAGATTCCAGAGGCGTTGGGTTCTCGGTTCAAGGACCCTTCTTTGTTTGCTGCGAATAATGCTTTGTGTGGAAAGCCATTGAAGAAGTGCAATGACGGTAAAAGGAAAAGAAAGAAGTTGATCTTATTCATTGTTTTGGCTGCTGTAGGGGCCTTTTTCGTGGCAGCGTGTTGTTGTGGGTACATCTACAGCCTTATACTTTGGCACAAAAAGTTAAGAGGTTCATCTGAAGGGAAGAAGCGAAGCCCAGGCCGTGCGAGTTCAGGAGGAGAAGGGGGCCGTGGAAGCGGAGAGAATGGAGGTCCAAAGCTTGTTATGTTTAACAACAAGATCACTTATGCAGAGACTTTAGAAGCGACACGACAATTTGACGAGGAAAATGTGTTAAGCCGTGGAAAGTATGGCCTAGTATTCAAAGCCACTTTTGCAGATGGAATGGTCTTGGCTATCCGCCGCCTTCCTGATACATCAATCGAAGTGAACACATTCCGCAAGGAAGCTGAATCCCTCGGCAAGGTGAAACATCGCAATCTGACTGTTGTTCGTGGATACTATGCAGGACCGCCACCTGATGTTCGATTTGTTGTGTACGATTACATGCCTAATGGAAATCTTGCCACACTTTTACAAGAGGCATCTCATCAGGATGGCCATGTGCTCAATTGGCCAATGCGCCACCTGATTGCTCTTGGCATTGCTCGTGGCTTAGCTTACCTTCATTCAGTTTCATTGATTCATGGGGATGTAAAGCCACAAAATGTATTGTTTGATGCAGATTTTGAAGCTCATCTTTCGGATTTTGGTTTAGATAAACTAAGCCTAGTAGCAACCCCAGCAGAGACTTCAACATCTTCCACCCCTGTTGGGACTCTAGGCTACATAGCACCTGAAGTGGCATTAACTGGACAACCCACAAAAGAAGCTGATGTATACAGTTTTGGGATTGTATTGTTAGAGATACTAACAGGAAGAAAGCCAGTAATGTTCAACGGGGACGAGGACATTGTCAAGTGGGTGAAGAGACAACTACAAAGAGGCCAAATTTCAGAATTGCTCGAGCCGGGGTTGCTTGAACTGGATCCTGAATCATCAGAATGGGAAGAGTTCTTGTTGGGAATCAAAGTTGGTTTGCTTTGCACCATGCCTGATCCTCTTGAAAGACCATCGATGACTGACATTGTATTCATGCTCGAAGGCTGCAGAGTTGGTCCTGACATTCCTTCTTCAGCTGATCCTACAACTCTTCCTTCACCAATGTGATGAAAATTCAATTCTTTGCAATGAAATCAATTTGCAAGAAAATGTCCTTCATTTTTCTCAGTTCAATGTTGTTCATGCATTTCTTCAATGTATTGTTACTCCATTCATTATCATTTTGTTTGTACATTGTTCATTCAAGAGTTGGCTGGTTTTGTGCAAGTATTATATTTCAAGTCTATTTTCTCAATGGCTTTTGCAACCCTTTGACTCTTTTCTGTATTTACAAATAAAGATCTCACCTTTCTTCACCATTGTGAAGTGGGAGAACTCCTATATTTCTTACTCAAGGAGCAAATGTATAGTTTCATTAGGCACATGTTCATGATAATGTGTGAATCAATTAAATAGATATCACCAACCATTACTACAACAACAATAAACCCAGTATAATCTCATAAAATTGAGGTTTAGAGAGAGTAAAACTAAAGTGTGCGCGCATATCTTATCATTATGTTTTCAAAGTAAAGAGACTGTCTTCATTAGACCTTCGGCTCAAGCAAATCAAAACATTAATCAAAAGGAAAAGCATGACAGCTAATAGCAAAGTTGTGAAGCATATATGCAAGGAGCATATTTCACCAACATTAGTGGGACTCTCTCATAAAACTTCAAATTCCAAAAATCAGAAGTTCAAAAAAGATTTAAGTTTCAACTTCAAAATTTATGTTCAAACGCTAACTTATGATTTACCTCATGATATATAATTATATGAATATCTATAACTTATTTTTTATCACAAATTTAAAAGACATTTTTTCTTGATTAATCTTTGTTTTTATTCGGGACGGAGAATACAATATAATTCAAGAAAAACAAATAGAGTACATCATTACTTGTATATGGTTACTAATTATGTTGTGTAGTTAATAAAGTGGTATGTATGTACTTTTTTATAATTCAGAAATCAGGGAATCAAGTGGACCAAAAACATGAATTCCCGCCAAAAGAGTAATGAAAAGAATAAAAAATAGATAGAATAGGTACAAGTGGAAAATACGAGTATTATAAATAAGAAAGTAGCCGTTAATGTGACAGTGAAAACTGAAACCAAAAGCTTTTTTATGGGAAAAGGAAATTGTAGGGTCCCAAACGTTAGCATCAGTCTGAATAATGAACGTATTGAAATCCAACTAAATTTAGATAGAAGATGAAACATTTTCGAACAAAATTGATTTCGTACTTTGGATTATTGAAGGTAAATCGATCTCTTACAAAAGTGACTTCATATCGAGTAAGACTCAAACTCAAAATTTGTGACTCAAATGAAAGAGTACTTATCATTTCATCGAGACGGGAAAAGGAAATTAGGACCAATATTTTATGTGTTAATTTAGGTGAGAAGTGCTTTTACTGCTATTTGGGAATTGGTTGGTCCAAATAACAAACCACGTCGGATTTTACGGAAATAAGCTATACTTTGACTAGCTATGTGGTCCTCTGTTGTGTCTTATTGTGATAATTTGTCTTAAATATATTTAAAAAATATTATAGGTGAACAATATTTGAAGGTAAATTCAGCTCTTCGTGAATATATTCGGACACGTGCACTACTCATATTGATACTAGAAGCTCATACTCAAATTTAATGATCACATCTCAATGCAATACGAGTTTTAAAATCATGGTATTCGAATGAAAATTTAAACTAAATTTATGGAATATCTGTCCCTGTAATCCACACTATCTCAATTAATTTTACGAGATATTTGTTACCTCCGATCCGTGCACATATATATCATCGAGGAGTAAGGCTGGAACGAAACCAAGTCTTGTGAATTTCTGACTCAAACGTAAATTATGAGTCTTCAGAACAGTGTCTATATAACATCAGTAAGTACTTGACTGAAATGATGGGTCAGTGTCAGATATAAAATTTACATCGCTGTAATTTTAACCTATGGTGAATATCATTATTTATTGCATAGTATTTACTGCCACTTTTCATAAAAAGTCATCACTTGTTTGTCATTTAGAGTCAGGTTCTTTATCCACGTACAAAAGATATTTAAATTGTTATATACATACATACACCACAATAAATAAGTATATAGTACCACTATTATTTTACGGTTTTTCTAGTTATATACTTTATTAGTAATATTCATAAAAAGGAATATACATGAAAGTTTCAAGAATCAACTAGCTTAACGGTCGAAAATAATGGCAAACTGGTATATTATGGACTGCTTTGCTGGTGATGTTAAATAGAATATAATCCATGTACATACATATAGTAGCATCACGTATCATTGTAAAATATGATAAACTAGTGTACTTGGCCGCGCTTTGCGCGGTTAAAATAAAAGATTAAATATATTCTGAAATAATTAGTGTCATTACTTGACAAATATTCTAATAATAAATAATGCAATAAAAGAGAGGAAAATTAAGTTACGATTCTAATATGACCTATTCAAAGAAATTGCTCACAAAAATTATGCTACAAATTGCTAATAAAAAAAGATGAAACATAAAAGTTGATATGAAAAACTTTAGCTAATTAACGTTCATCATAGTTTCATACTGATTAAAGTTAATGATTTATAGCAATCTTATTAGTTCAATCACGATCTACTCCATCATAAATTACTCCTCATGAATCATATTAGTTGATCACTATTCTAAAAATAGTTGTCACGTATTAGTTGATCACCTTAATAAATCAAGAAAGCATTAATTGATTTTTTTCCAAATTACCTTGCAAATTAATTCCTTTTTAAAGTGTTTTGTAAAGTTTCAAAAAAGTTCTTAAGGGGTGAATTGGTAAAACTATCCACTTATTTATGATTTCTAAATATATGCGCGTAAAAAGAAAAGTCATCAACTAATATGGGACGGAGGGAGTACATGATTTTCTATTTGTATAAATGACTATATAATAAAATAAATAAATAAAGATATATGATTTCTTAATATTTGCACGTAAAAAGAAAAGTGATCAACTAATATGGGACAGACGGAGTACATGATTTTCTTTTTGTATAAATGACTATATAATAAAAATAAATAAATAAAGATATATGATTTCTTAATATATGCACGTAAAAAAAAAAGTGATCAACTAATATGTGAAGGAGGGAGTACATGATTTTCTTTTTGTATAAATGACTATTTAATAAAAATAAATAAATAGAGATATATTCGTGGTAAATCATGATTATATTTTTTTCTCCATTTCATCAATAATATACATTTAGATGAAAGACATGTTCTATTTAATATTTATAGGTGAAGATTATATTACATTCCTAACCATAATTAAGTAAATAAAATTAGAAAAATACTCTTCAAAAATGGTAAAATTCCACAAATTTTGAAGATCCATTGGTACCATTGATTTAATCTTAATTTTATATTATTCAAAATATCAAAATTGTTGAAATATGTTTAATTAGCCTGATAAATAATAATCATTTGAAAAATATGTCTTATGATTCACATACATACATAAAAGAAAAGGTAAAAGAATTTCTATTTTTTCTAAAAGAAAAATTGTTTTTTTCTTTCATTGACACAACAGCTTCCGCATATTTAAAGATCAATAATATAAGATTTATTTATTTTATCTCCAAATAGAGTAGCCTCGTATATTCAAATATTTAAAATATAAAAATATAAGATGATATTAATGTGTATCTAAATTTGTAGGAAATATTTTCTTACCGAATTTGAAAAGTACTTTTCAAAACTTATTTACTTAATTAATTATGTTTATGATTTTATTTATTTAATATAATCTTTAACTAATTAATTATGATTATGATTTTATTTATTTAATATAATATTTACCTTTAAAATTAAATAGGACATATATTTCTTATCTAAATGTATACTTGACGAAATAGAGAGAAAGATAATGGATAGGGGAACTGAATCTTATTCAAACGTATTTACTCGTTAGTCAATAATTTTAGAAAAGAAAGGTCAACAATTTAACATATTAAACAGATAAATAAAACGGAAAAAAATACATAAGAAAAAGGGAAGAGATAGAACACATTAAGGAGGTCACTGTTAATTTTTTTGTTAATGACTACTCAAGGCTGCAAAAGTAATGGAGGTGTGTAGATACCATTTTTAAAAATGATTGACATTACAATATCAACAATTTAGTAATCAACTACCTTCACAATACGAAAATATTATGTATTTTGTATAAGGGAAAAGTACTCTACGCATGAATTACCATATGTTTCACAATAAAACTAAAAAGTTATATTTATTCGAAGGCAAAAACTTATAAGCAAATACGAAAAGATGAGGTGTACTGAAAGAGACTGTTACTCTCTTAATCAGATGTCTAGTTGAATCTTGAATATGAAAAAACTCCTTAGTAGGAAGTGCTCGCTTCAAATGGAGCCTTGCGCATTGTGAATCCATATATAATCAGGCTACAATGTGGATACCAAATACAATATACAAAATCAAAAAGTATATAAATTATAAGAACATTATGTAACTTTGCATGATAACCAAAGTTCAGACGTTGTTCTCACCTTCACAATATTCCATAAAAATTAATATAATTTCCATGGGAAGATCTTTTCAAATCATTTTGAACTTCCTGCCAAATTAGACAATATAAAGTTAGACATCTTTTCTATTAACTATTAGAATAGTATTAGCAAATCATCAAATCCAAAGAAATTTATAAAGAGAAAGAAAAGATTAATGAAAATTAAATAATGAAGTATGATTTTATAGGACCTTAATATTTTGACTGTTGAAAAGCATTAATTCTGAATTTAGAATGGTAAACGATTTCTCCAATAATTATAGCCTTAATTTGAGTAAACGGTTAAGGGCTACTAATTACAATTAAGAATTGGAATTTTAAACGGTAGCTTTTCTCTTTCTTAAACTTTAATTAATTTAAACCCATTAATTATTATAGCCTTAAAGTGAGGAAATTAAACGGTAGCTAATTAGAATAAATTTAGGTCTGAAATTAGGAAAAAAAAAAGAGAAAATAAATAAATAGATTTCCTGATCATTGGGGCATGCCACATCAGCGGACTGAAGATCCAGCTTTATAT